AAGCACTCCTATATTATGAGACCTCCTTTGCCAGTAGCAAGATATAGTAATAGGTTTTTACCCTTGTATCTGGCACCAAAACCGACACCTTTTATACAAGGGATCATGTTTGCAATAAACCACAACACAAGCAGTCAAAATGCAAACAAAAAGAGACAACTCTGATAATGATATGGCACTCCTTGAAATTGATTGGTCCACACCCGAGAGACGGCTTTCATTAGAGCCCTAGTCTCCACTGGTGTTGGACCAGATGACGCCAAAAGGCGTACAACTCAAAAAACAGCGCACTATCAGCACTCCTATGCTTCTGACAACCGCTTTCTGTGGTTCGTTTGGTGTACCTCCCGCTCGCAACCTCCGATTTGGCCACGGTTGGCTGCGCACGGTGCGAAATAAGTTCACCCGACATCCGTACATACAAATGAGACTGGTCTCTGGAGTTCTCACCTGGTTAAACAAAATAAACTTGAGTCTTGAACCGATGTTTAATTATGCGCGGCATTTGAAATTCATGAGAGGGGATGGGGAAATGCTCTCGGGGAGACTGGCATGGGGGTGAGCGGGGGTGGTCTGGGTAGTTGGAGGCAGCGTAGGCAGTGGAAGGATGGAGTGGCCACGCGTCCGTTAATGTTGAACGGGGAGAAGCCTTCGCAACTGCTCATGCCTTGCGCAATGCAGTAGATCGATGTCGATCGAAAGACACCTCCCAAGTTCGTCCAGCATTTTAACTGTTGAGGCAAATTTTAATTGGCTTTAGCTCACCTTGTGTTGTTGTGATTTCCCCCCGGCACGCCCGAGTGTTTTCAGTAGGGAAGTGACTTGCAGTAGTAATGAGCATTGCAGCAGCGGTGTTATACGTCCCGCGTGCTACGTTTTGGGGAAGCATTTCGGCAAGGGGTGCAGGGTGGGTGGGTAGGGGGGGGGGGAGCAGGCTGTGGCGCGGGTACCGTGCGGGAGAAATTTGGAACGTGCGCAGGAGGGAAACGTCAGGCGGCGGAGTCGGCGGCACGTTGTGGCTTGCAAAGCGCGCTGATACGCAACGTGGAGTGGATGCCTTACAGTGAGGGGAAAAAAGTATTTGATTCCCTGCTGATTTTGTACGTTTGCCCACTGACAAAGAAATGATCAGTGTATCATTTTAATGGCAGGTTTATTTGAACAGTGAGAGACAGAATAACAAAAACAAAATCCAGATTAACGCATGTCAAAAAAGTTATAAATTGATTTGCATTTTAATAAGGGAAATAAGTATTTGACCCCCTCTCAATCAGACAGATTTCTGGATCCCCAGGTGTTTTTATATAGGTAACGAGCTGAGATTAGGAGCACACTCTTAAAGGGAGTGCTCCTAATCTCAGCTTGTTACCTGTATAAAAGACACCTGTACACAGAAGCAATCAATCGATCAGATTCCAAACTCTCCACCATGGCCAAGACCAAAGAGCTCTCCAAGGATGTCAGGGACAATATTGTAGACCTACACAAGGCTGGAATGGGCTACAAGACCATTGCCAAGCAGCTTGGTGAGAAGGTGACAACAGTTTGTGCGATTATTCGCAAATGGAAGAAACTCAAAAGAACTGTCAATCTCCCTCGGTCTGGGGCTCCATGCAATATCTCACCTCGTGGAGTTGCAATGATCATGAGAACAGTGAGGAATCAGCCCTGAACTACACGGGAGGATCTTGTCAATGATCTCAAGGCAGCTGGGACCATAGTCACCAAGAAAACAATTGGTAACACACTATGCCGTGAAGGACTGAAATCCTGCAGCACCTTCAAGGTCCCCCTGCTCAAGAAAGCACATATACATGCCCATCTGAAGTTTGCCAATGAACATCTGAATGATTCAGAGGACAACTGGGTGAAAATGTTGTGGTCAGATGAGACCAAAATGGAGCTCTTTGGCATCAACTCAACTCGCCGTGTTTAGAGGAGGTGGAATGCTGCCTATGACCCCAAGAACACCATCCCCACCGTCAAACATGGAGGTGGAAACATTATGCTTTGGGGGTGTTTTTCTGCTAAGGGGACAGGACAACTTCATCGCATCAAAGGGACGATGGACGGGGCCATGTACCATCAAATCTTGGGTGAGAACCTCCTTCCCTCAGCCAGGGCATTGAAAATGGGTCGTGGATGGGTATTCCAGCATGACAATGACCCAAAACACACGACCAAGGCAACAAAGGAGTGTCTCAAGAAGAAGCACGTTCAGGTCCTGGAGTGGCCTAGCCAGTCTCCAGACCTTAATCCCATTGAAAATCTGTGGAGGGAGCTAAAGGTTCGAGTTGCCAAACGTCAGCCTTGAAACCTTAATGACTTGGAGAAGATCTTCAAAGAGGAGTGGGACAAAATCCCTCCTGAGATGTGTGCAAACCTGGTGGCCAATTACAAGAAACGTCTGACCTCTGTGATTGCCAACAAGGGTTTTGCCACCAAGTACTAAGTCATGTTTTGCAGAGGGGTCAAATACTTATTTCCCTCATTAAAATGCAAATCAATTTATAACATTTTTGACATGCGTTTTTCTGGATTTTGTTGTTGTTATTCTGTCTCTCACTGTTCAAATAAACCTACCATTAAAATTATAGACTGATCATTTCTTTGTCAGTGGACAAACGTAAAAATCAGCAGGGGATCAAATACTTTTTTCCCCCACTGGACTTGCGCAAAGCACACAAATTCACAGAGTGAAACGCAAAATCCTCCCCCTGAGATCCACTCGCAAGAGTCGGCCCCGATGACCTGGTGGCGTCACGGTTACAAAATTGCCAAATTGGAAAAATTATCCGCGCCGATTTCTCGATTGGGTTTTTGTACGCACATCAGCAGCAGCAAAATCATCTCTCCCTGCTTTAGCAGGCTCATGGAGTGCCAGGGGGGGTGGGCACTGCTTGTAAATTAGACCCCATCCCCTGGCCTCCTCCTCGAGTTCTCAGTCAAAATGAAATAAAATCGACTCAAACTTTGAGCGATCCTACTCGGCAGCCTCCACAGACAACACGCAGAGCATTGCCATTCCAAGCCACGACCGGCCCCGATGTTTCCCCGAACGATTGGCAAATGCATCCTTTCCGACGTTTCGATTCGGGAAGAAATTACGGCAAAAGGGTACGAGACCGGCACTTTTTGGTTTTAATTGGTCGTCAACTACAACGTGCCTGGTGATTTTGTTTGGAAAAACAAAAGCGTAGATTTTTTTTTTAATGTGTCTATACATATATATAAACTGCTACCAATTATGAATGTTTTTCTAAAGTATTTTATTATTAAAAATAAGGATAGGTTTTTTTTCCCCTCTCCGCAAAAGGTTATCTGTTTGGTGTTGACAGAAAGCGTAAAACCTATTCTTATTTTTCATACTTTGATACTGGCTAAAAAAAAGTCCCCGTGGGTATTTTAGTCACAAGACGATCCCGGTACACACAGGATATGGAAGGAGGTTCACACAGCACATGAAAGTTTTTGATACCTGTTATTTTACGTATACATTAGCTTTCCCTTGTTTGTAATTCATCATCATCGGACGCATTTGAATGGGTAATTAAAAAAATAAACATTCTTGCCACGTCTCACGTTTTGTTTACGGTCTGATGGGGGGAAAAAAACCCCAGAAAACCCCCCTCCACCCCTTCCTCAACAGCTCCATGGAAAAAAAAAAATTCCAGTTGAAAATTAAAATGCCCGAAGGCCATTAGTGCGTTTATAGCTTTTCCTGGGGCCAGATAATCATCTCTGGCAAGTGGCGTTTGAAACGGAAGGAATTCGTTAAGTCCAGCGTGTGCATGCGCGCGCCTCGGCGTTGAAGCAGCTTTGAGATTTCGCCTTAAATGGGTTGAAATAAGAATGTCTCTTTGGGAGAGTCGGACGTGGGAGGCTTAAGAGGCCAATAGCAGCCTTGCTTTTTAGCCACCCCCTAGGTCATCATCTCTTGCTCACCCCGTGCCCATACTGGACGCGTGTGACAAAGAGCTTCATAGCTCATCGGATTCCTCCAGCCAAAAATAAACATTCTAGAATTCCTGTGACCAAACTCACATTGAGTGCGTGCCCCCCCCCATCCCCGTCAGGTTCTCGGACGAGTAACATTGTTCAAGCTCCCGTTGGGCACTGTACTTGCTTATTCTATCGTCACGCTCGCTTGCCCAAGAAATGCCTCGCTGGGTCACAGTGACTCGTTGTCAGGAGGGTCCTGCCAAGTTTGTGTTGCCGAAGCGGGTCAATGATTTGCTTCTATTTGTATAATCCCAGTTGAGCGTTTGCATGGCGTGTGCCCCGGAATATAGCAGCAGGTGTTGTAGTTGGCTGTGATCAGATGGCAGTGGATTGTGCTCCACGGTGGTGAGATGTAAACTCCCTCGCCTGGTATATAGGAGGTCGTGGGTTCAATCGAGTTTACACGCTCTCTCTCCCCATCGTCGTGTGTGGATTTTTCTCCTGGCTTCTCCGATTTCCACCCCCCCCCTCCCCCCCTCCACCATTGAAAAACATGCTCTTCGAGAAAATTTGGCCGCTGTGAATTTCCTCGTGACGATAAGCCACTTCCATTGAGCCATCATTTGTGATGGCCAGGTCGCTTCTGAAAAAGAGCTTACACGGCTCAGTGGCTCTTACCACCTGGTAAAATAAAAAAAAGGTTCCCCATTTTGAGCTATCATTTTTAACACGTCGGCTTTCGCGACCGATATTATCAATATTAGATCGCGAGAGTGGCCGCCAGGTCGCTTCTGAAAAAGAAGTGAATACCTCGGTGGGCTTTGCCTGGTAGGATGAGGATGGTTTCGTGTTGTATTTGTTTGTGTGATTTGTGAACCTTTCTTGTACTTTGCACGACGATCATGTTTTTGTAACTGTTTGTTGTTGTTGTAGCATTCTGACCCCGTGGCCCCTACTGGACATCTGTTCAAAAGGGGCTTCATAGCTCATCGGTATCCTCCTGGAGTATAAACAAATATCGATTGTGATGCCTTCACCTGTGCCTGCGCGATCCACAGACTGGCTGGTGGCCACTCTCGCGCTGGTGCTGACTGCCAGCGTGCTTGCCCTGATCTGCACCATCATGGGATGCGTCTCGCTCTGCAGGAACTCATCCCAACGACTCTACAAGCTGATCGCCGCTCTGCTCTTCTTTGCTGGTGCGTTCCGCTCCACGGTTCCGTTTACGTATGTGCGCATGTTGTGTGCATGTTGAACTTTTGCACCGTTACGTAGCCAACCGTGCTTCTCGTTGGTGCCGGGGGAAGGACAACAAACTAAAAGACAACAAGTAGTTATTAAGAAATTCATTTTCAATTTAGTATAGTCGTGTAGTGTTTATCGTAGTGTGTATTGTAATGTATGTATGTTGACATTCTTGAGCACTGTTATGTAGCCAACCATGCTTATCGGAGGTGGCGAAAAAAAATGAGTTCCCATAACGGGAATTAAACCCAGGCCATCGCCTGGGTGAAAACCAGGAATCCTACCCACACTAGACCGTATGGGAAGGTGCGTTCTCTACGTGGGTGCGTGTTTTTTTTTAATCCTCCATCCCAGTTTACAAAATGAGTCTTGTTTGTATCGAGTAGGGTTTGTTACGATATTGTCTCTAGTGACATGGTGAGAAATAAGTTTTCACGATGTGACGGAGCCAGACAAATAAAATTGGCATGTTGGAGATGTAGAAAAGCAAGCAAAATGTTACAATATTTATGGGATTTATACTAACAAAAAAATCAACACCTATGCCAACAAGCTCTAACCCAAAATAATCTACGATTCACAATACCGTACGTGCAGGCCTCCGAATCAAAATTTACTTTTTAATTGGAGGCAGCTTTTTTTATGCTTTACAACTGAATTTGGAAGCATCGCTGCGTTTAGCTCTGTGTCCACCGATCCCGGACATGTGCCCAGTGAAATAAAAGTCACCCATGGTGAGATATTAATATCACGGACGGGAAATGTTTGATTCTGTGTTAGCATTTTCAGCGTTAATATGCAAGTCGGTTTTGCTTTATCGCTGTTCAGGAGAGGGGTAGCTGCCCGCGCCGTTCTAATACCAGGGAAGATCGCACGAGTCCTTTGACCCGTGCAAAAATAATAATCTATAATATAAAACAACGACACGTGAGCGGGTGTGAGAACGTTCCCAAGCCGTGCGGTAACATTTCACGGATGTCACGGCGCGTTGCAGTTCTCACCAATGCATACCGCTAAATTTTCTACGTTTTGTTCTGTTGGCGGAAGGGAAAAAAAAAAACCCAAACCCGTATCCCATCGGGCTGAGCAGCCAACAGAGTCCCACGCCGCCTGGCGTCTTCACGCCGGGATTTTGCAGCAATACATTTGTAGGAGGAAGTGGGGGGGGGGGGCGGGGAGAAGAAGAAGCAACAAAAAAAATATTTGGAAGGCACTCAATTTGGAGGCCCGCGAAGGGAATTGCGGATCAGTCGCTGCTCAACCGGCGACCGAATCCTCGCACCCGTGGGCAATTCCATGCCGGTGTCTCCCACCGCGTTTAACGATCGTTGAGTGCCACGTTTTGGAAAGGCGGGATTTCAAATCGCGGACGTGCGCCGGGAGACCAAAGAGAGGCGAGCGCCGGGTTTGTGCCGTGGCGCCGAGATAGCCGGTTATTTTTACTCGAGTGGTTTAAACAAAAAAAAAAGAGGAGAGGGCCTTATCTTTTATTGGAATTGTCATTTCTCTGCAACCGCATTTTTTTTATCATCTTTCTCTCCCGGTGGCACCTCCAAAGCTCGGGATGCCGAATTGAGTGTCAGTCCTAATCTGTAAGGGGCATTTCTTGCTTTTGCCTAAAGCCCGGACGTTCCTGAAGCTTCCATACTGGCAAAAGGATGCACGGTTGGCTACGTACGGTACGAAAGAAGTTCCACCACTGTTCCAAAACCTCTCCCAAAGGCTGTAACCAGCCCAGCGATCGGTACTGTGTTTTGTGACAAAAACATTATCTATGCTTGATTTCAGTGTTAAATATTATATGCAGTACATTATACACCACATACAACTTAAACAATGAAAATGCTGCACGTGTATACATCACCCCATGCAGAGTCTTCAAGATTGGAGTGGTAAGCACGTTACGGTAAATACAGCAACTTTTAAAAATAGGATATTTATTTCGTGTTTATTTATCCCAATTTCATCGAGTAAACCAATATATAACAACCCCTAAAAACAATGTCTTCCAGGGATGTGCAAAAATAAGCGATTTTAAACAATGACCATTCGTGATTACCCCCGAATCCGCTGGATGATCGGTGATCTACTGCACATACATGTGGCACATGAGTTCAGCGGTGCATGGCACTCGAGAGTATTTTGACAGCAGAAGGTTATCTAAACACAGCATTGATTCGGCCAGCGATGTGTAATGCTCGAACCCGAAATATCACTCCGGTGGTAATGCGATTGCCTCCCGTGTTGTATGGCCCCCACACCATTGTGTGCGACGAGACCGTACCCACGCCGCCTACGCTGTGTAAATAGTGGACATTGAGCGAATGAATAAATGGGCCGACAAAAACAATTTTTTGGGGCTTTCAACAAACACGCCTGGGAAATTAAACGGCCGTAACAAAAGAAAAAGGGGGTAGAAAAAAACCCAGCAGCCGCGTCTGCCGGGGTAGTTCAAGAGGCCACGTGTGCGAGTTTGCCCAAAGACATGATTGCATTCCGATTGCAGGGGTTAGGCGGGCGCCTCCCGCCCCTCTGCCCAAGAGTGGCGAGGAGCGAGAGACGTTTGTTACCCAGCAATGCCAGCGGACCATCAAAGCTTCTGCCTTTATAAGTACATCCAAGATCATTCCACCCACACTGACCCCAGGGGTCCGCTCCATCTATGCGAGTGTGTGTGTGTGCGCGCGTGCCTGGTGGGGTATTTTTTTTAATGTGGGGAGCGGTGGTGTAGCCGTTGGCGCGCTGCGCTACGAACCCGGTGGCCCGAGTTTGATTCCCGCTGACGGCCAACACCCAGTGATGATTATCTGAACCGGTTCTGGGCTTCCCCTAGGTCGGCTCGACCTCAAATGAGTACCTGGTGCGGAGTGTAAACATCGCCACTGGGGAGACAAAGGCAGCTGGGCGTGGTGCTGGCCACCCCAACCCCTCGTGTGCCGTGCCGGCCTTAATAGGTGCTCGCTAACAGCACTTGCCCCAGCAGTCTGTTGAGGCTACACGGATGATCTTTGTCTTTGGGGTATTTTTTTTCCCCCCGTTCTGCTTCCAAGTGTGCTGCACAGAGCTGCCGCGGTAAATGGCTCCCATAAGTGTCATGTCCAAGGGCAAAAATATAGATTCACGGCTGCACTGGTGCGTGTGGGCGCGTGTGGGTGCGTGTGTGCGCGTGTGCATGTGGGGAGTGGTAGCGTAGTGGTTAGCGCTACGTGACGCAAGTTCAATTTCTGCTCATGGCCAACACCGGTGACGTTTTTCTGAACCGTTCCTGGGCGCCTCCCCAAGGTCAACTCGGCCTTAAATTAATACCTTGTGCGATGCGTAAAGAAAAAAACATCAGCACTGGGGAGACAAAGGCGGCCGGGCGAAGTGTGGGCCATCCACCCCTTGTGTACCATGCCGGCCTTCATAGGTGCTCGCTAACAGCACTTGCCCGAATAGTCTGTTCAAGGCTATATGGCGGATCTTTGTCTTTGTAGATAGAATGACCTCGCTGCTTGGGTGGAGTAGTCATCCTTCTTGCACTCTGCTCTATAATCTCCAACACAAAGTGTTGATTCCTGGCTATGCAGATAATTTATTTCTCTTTCTGTGGGCGTATTGGGTAATCTCCGTCTGAAGTGAGTTATTGGCAAGATGCTCAATGTTATTAAATGCGATGTTATTAGGTTGTTACTCGGCACAAAAACTATACTTTACAACCAAAAAAGTCATGTGCACGTACCTGTCTGCCCCTTGTCAGTGCCCTACACAATTCAGATCTTATTGGTCACCCCGTGCCCCTTATAAATCTCAACGTTCATCCTACAAAGTCCCATCACAAGGGAGAAACACAAACACATAGACAAAATCAATCAATGTTTCCTGCATTGAAACGACTGTATACCATACGGACCTGAAAACTCAACCTCCCTGTACGAGAATGCGGGGTAAACCGTGTGGGTTGTGACGGGTGTGCGTGCACGAGACGTCCTGCACTAAAGACCATTGAGGCATCGACGCTCATCTCGTATTTACAGCCCTGCAGAGCCAGCGGTGGAAATTACACATTCCCATGGCTGGGGAAAAACCTCTCCGTAGCAGGAACACTGTTGGCTTTCCCACGAAGTGTGATATCCATTTTATGCACCCCAGAGGGATGATGGGCTGAGTCCTCCCCAAAGTGGGATTTGAACTCTCTCATGACCATCTCTCCCACCTTAGCATATGGCCGGATTCCCTGTAATTAATTCCCGCTAATGAAATTTGTCAAACATCGCCAATGCAGGGACCCTCTTAAACAAGTGTCCTTGAGGCTCGGCGAGGCGTGACTGGATACATCCTGCACCGGTTGCGTTTAACTAATGTGGCGGGGCAGTCGTCTCAGAACGGGAAAGGGTTAACAAAATAAAATGTCCTTCCCACCCCCATGGCCCTCATAGTGACCGAATGAATGTGTGCCTGTGTGTGTGTGTGCGTGTGTGCGCGTTTGTGCGTCACGCTCCCTCGGATCCGCAGCTGTCCCCGTCTTACCCGCCTACCCCAGCCCGCACCACCGCCCATACCTTTCTCCACATTGCATCTTCCCCATTTTCACCGCCCGCCCGCCACTCAAGCAATGTCCTCGCAGTCACAGCAGCGTGTGAAAAATACGTGCCAGCCGCGTTAGTTTTCGAACTTGTATCGCTCTCCCCCCCCCCCCCCCCCCCCCCGTGAACGGGATTCCGTGGTCGGCGGGCTTGCACCAAGTCCAGTCTTCACCACCCACCCCCCCGCCACCCTCCCCCCGATCGACAAGGCGTTACGCGTTCGTTGTGTGTCTGTGTTTCTTCTTCTGTTGTCTTTTAAACCAGCCGAGAAGTCGGGAGACCCACGTGCGAGTCTTATTCGCAAAGAGTTGGGTGACGGTGGCGGGGGGGGGGGGGAGTTGGGGGGGGGGGGTCGTGGCAAAAAAATATCAAAAGGCCAAAGCGAGTGATAGAAAGCGTCACAGCGAAGTAAATAAATGTATCGGCGAGAGAAACAATCTGTGGCACGTGAGCGATTTCGTGGGGGCGGTGGGGGGGGGGGGACATCACACGAGTGCAAATCGCCGTCGAATAATTCATCCCCTGCCCTGCAGCGCATGGCGGGGTTACTTTTTGACCGATTGTGGCGCGATGCAAAAAAAAATAAATTAAACTACAGAAATATTTAAACGGCTACGGCGTGACTGGATTGTGTTCGGCTTGCGTGCGGGAAGCCCCCTCCTCCCCCCCCCCCCCCCCCCCCCCCCCCGCTCGTGATTAGCTTCAGTGGGGATCAATGCCCCATAGACCATCTGATGGATGCATTCATAGCCCCGGCAATTTCATTAGACATTGAAACTCCTCATCCAGGTGATGATTGTTTTAAACAGGTGACCTGATGGGACGTGAACGTGTGTCTGTGTTTGTGCCTGTCAATCCTCACATTTTTGCTCCTTATAGCCGCATGGTTAAGCGTGGCTAATCTGGTACATTTTGGTGACCTCTTCTCAAAATGGTAATTCACCACCACCGTAAATAATCACCATCATCCTCCTCCTCGTCATCGGTATAGCTTCTTCACCACCACCACCCCCAACACTGCCAGTGTCACCACCATCGCCGGATCACCCCCCATCATCAACATCACCAGATCAACCTCCACCATCGCTGGGTCACCCCCCCCATCATAATTTTTATTCCAAATATTCACATCTATTAACCCTCTCTGAGTGATTGCCCAACCCTAAACTGAACTCAGATCATGAGAGATAAATTACGACTCTTCGTTTTTATCTCCACCGTCATTGCCCATCGTCTTCATCAGCATGCGGTGCAGGCCGTTGTCCAGCCCTTCATGGGGGGGTGGGGGGGGTGGACCAAGGTTCGCTTACAGTGCAAAAAGCACCACGTTCGTACTTCACGGCTAAAGAGAGAGAGAGAGGACCTTTGTTATATTCCTGCCCTCCGTGCGTGCGTGCTTGCTAAAGTGACTCCGGGGAGGGGTGATTCGACAGATTGGTCTCCGGAAATGCAGATTTATGATCTCGCCAAGCTTTATGCTCGCAAACAAACCACCGTCTTGTTCTGCTATGTCCCCGGGGGGACGAGGGTAAGGGGAATTTGCATTTATTGGTGCGTCTCCTGAAAGAGCGTGAATCGTCACGTGGACTCCGGTCATCCTCGCAGCAGCGGCGGCGGCGGCGGCGGATTTTGGCTCGGCCATCGAACAACGAGACGGTGGTCACCGCATCGCGCGGCGCTTTCAGATGCGCTTCTGCGGCCGTCTGGAACGCTCTTCCTTCCGATATGAATTAGGAGGCCTCTGGAGCTCTGCACTTTTAAATCATCATGTTGAAAACTCATTTCTTTTGAACTGCTTTTTGTTTTTAGTTTGTTGCCCTTCCCCCGGCAACTCCAGTTAGCACGGTTGGCTAAGCACGGTTCGAAAGGAGTTCTACATACATACAAAAGCGCCTTGCATCTCCCATCTCGATCGTTCCGATACCCAGCTGCAGTTTTTTTTTTTAATTAGCCTAGGGGACCAACCGATGGCAGCTGTCCCTGTGTGGCAACAACGTGAGCATTAGTCTCTTAGTAGCTCAAGCAATTTGAGTAAATTGCGAGTAGTGCTGTGGTATTTAGATGTTATCTCCATCGCCCGGTATGCAGGAGGCCGCAGATTTGATCCCAACGCTGTTGATGCCTGTATATTTGGAGTTTGTGTGTCTCTCTCCCCGTGGTCACGTGGATTTTTCTCTGTATTCCTCAGGTTTTTCCCTCCACATTTAGAATCGGCGTGCCTTCAGAGTATTCGGCTGCCATCAATTTCCACATGACGATAAGCCACTTCGTTGAGCTATCATTTGTGATAGCAGGTCGCTTCTGTAAAAGAGCTATAACAGCTCAGTGGGCCTTGCCTGCTAAAATAAATAAATAAACAATGGTACAGAAATATTTGTTCAAATCTGGGCCGTAATGCTGGCATGCATGGCCGAGTGTTTTTCGAATAATGTCACACGGGATCTTCTTTAACGTCGGCTGGGAAGAGAGGCGGTGCGGTATAGGCTCTGGGAAGAGAGGCAATGGTGTCCTCTTGTCCACGGTTGTAGACTTTGATGTCTGAGACGTTTTGACTTGATAAACAAACCGGATCTATTTTTTACGTGTTGTGCCGCATCCACGCATTAGCAAATGCTTTAACAGCCGGGTAGCGTTCTTCAGCCGAGATGCCTTCCTGCCTGTTAAATTCACGGCGACATGCGAACGGTTTGGCTAAATTGTGTAAATAATTATTTTTCCAAATGTCAAAATTGTGCGCACCATCTCATTAGCAAACAACAAAAAATCCTTAAGGAGGGCGCTGCTATTTATTTATTCATTCATTCGAAAATACTGCCGATGGTAATATTAATAAATGTAAATAACTGTTTGAGGATTCTGTAGACTTATTATCCCGTGGAGGGAATTCCGTAAACTGTCAATTATCCAGGGGGGTGTGAGGGTGGTGGTCTGTATAAAACATAAAACCAACGTCGTTTGACATCATCTGGTGACAGCCAGAATTCTGATGAGGCTGGTTGTAATTGCCGGCAAAACGTCGTACTCGAATTGTATTCCTAACGAATTGGCACGTTCTATTTACGTGACAACCCTTACTAATTGGCTGTGTCGGTTGGTGGTGGGTTTAACGACACATTGATATTTTGATTTAAAGCTTTCGTGACTGCAGTAATTCATATTCTTAGCTCTTTCGGTAAAGTCACGTTGAAGGGAAACAATAAAATAATAAAATATATATAAAACAATAAAAATTCTCACCACGTTTCGACCATAACACAAACGGTCGTCATCAGGTGACAATAAAATAATAAAATATATATAAAACAATAAAAATTCTCACGACGTTTCGACCATAACACAAACGGTCGTGAGAATTTTTATTGTTTTATATATTTAATTATTTTATTGTTTCCCTTCAACGTGACTTTACCGAAAGAGCTAAGAATATGACACATTGATATATTTGCACGATCTCACCCAACAATCCTGTATTATGGATAACGTTGGTCGCGAAAGCCCACGTGTTGAAGCTCATTCAAGCAACACTGTCGCCTTAAAAATCAAAAGTGTGTACGATACATTCCTGGCAATGGCCCTCCTTCACGGAACGTGCAGAGGCCAGAGGGAGAGAGGTAATGTGGGAGTGGAGTGGTGGCGCAGTGGTTAGCGCATCACGCTGTGAAACCGGCGACCCGAGTTAGATTCTCGTCCACAATCGCAGTGGCGGGCAACGTTCTCAAACTGGTTCTGGTCACACTATATATATTTTTATTTTTACCAGGTAAGGCCCGCTGAGCTCTAGAGTGCTCCTATTTCAGAAGTGACCTGGTCACAAATGGCAGCAGCTCAACGAAGATGGCCTATCGTGCGGAAATGTTCAGTAGCCAAATCCTCTTTCAACGCGTGACGTCGATTCTATAAATGTGGAGGTAAAAAAAATAAACCGGAGGACCTCTGAGAAAAATCCCACGTGACCACGGGGAGAAACACGCAAACTCCAACTGTACAGGCTTCAGGGTCGGGAACGAACCCACGACCTCCTGTGTATACCAGGCGAGGGTGTTAGCATCTCCTAGCCACCGTGGCGCCAGGACATTCGCACGGCCTGCGGTGCATATTTATGATAGTCGGTGCACGACGATGCAGTCATTCCGTCACGCCAACCCTCTCCTGTTCAATAAGGTGCGTGCGTTCGAGAAGACGCGTCCGTTGCATCGTGGCGTGGCCTTGCCTTGACGCACCTGCCTGTTTCTGCACGCGTGCAGCCGTCCTGCAGGTGTGTGCCCTGGTGCTCTACCCCATCAAGTTCCTGGAGGCGCCCGCTCAGAGCAGCACTTACTACGAGTTCAACTGGGGCTACGGCGTCGCCTGGGGTGCCGTCATCTTCATGATCGGGGCCGGTGTGCTCTACTGCATCAACCCCAAGACGGAAGACCACGATTATCCATACTGAGCCGTGGGGGGGGGGTGGGGGTGGGGGCAGTGGCGACGGCGACGAATGGCAACGACGAACGAGAGTGTGAGAACTGTTCACCTCGTCCGCTCGTCGTCGGCGAGTCTCCAAAACAGAGCGAGGTCGGAGAGAGAGAGGAAGAAGTGGAGGGGGGGGGGGTCTTCTGTCGTGCTTTTCCCAACCGAGGGGTTCAAAGTGTTTCCGCGTTTGAGCCCTCTCCGTGCACGTGTCTGGCCGTCTGTGACCGGTGAGCGGGAGGGGGGCGGAGTGGTGTGTGTGTTGGGGGGGGGGGGGGGGGAGCTGGATAACTCTCGCTAAATGCGATCCGATGTGAATTTAAGTGTTTTTTTTGTTAGTCGCGTTGCCCTGAGGGGACTTGCCCCTCCGACCCCCTCCCCCCCCCAATGTCTTGGCCCCGCTGTGCGAACGCGTTAACCCCCAAAACGGGAGGTCGCGCGCCGCTGCCCGTGCCGAGTGAGAGAGGCCTGCAGGCCGAGGGTGGCCACCTCGACATGCTTGGGGGGGTGGGGCATGGCGGTGGACTTCTTCATCAAAGGAGACGCGCGCCGGGCCTTTTAGCTCTGGGTTTTAACCTGTGGTGCTCGCTTCACGTGCGGCCCTGGTTTGTGCGTGCGTGTAGTTCAACGGTCAGCGCGCTGCACGGCGAAACCCGGCGACCCGAGTTCGATTCCCGCTCACGGCCAACACCCAGTGACGATTTTCCGAGCCTGTTTCCGGGCCTCCCCTAGGTTGACTCGGCCTCAAATTAGTTTCCTGGTGCGGTTTGTAGTAAAATATCGCCACTGGGGAGACAAAGGCGGCCGGGTGTGGTGCTGACCACCCCCATCCCCCTCGCGTACTGTTCCGGTCTTCATAGGTGCCACTCGCTTAACAGCACTCGCACCGGGCAGTCTGTTAAGGCTATACAGAGGGGGAAGAGGTTTTTGTCTTTGTGAGAGAGAGAGATAATCCCTCGCTGAGTCTCGCCCTTTTCCCCACTACTCGGCCACTGGCGACGAGCACGTGCTGACGTGCATGCACACGCTCGCGTTCGCTCATTTTACGAACACAATTAGCAGTTCAATTCAAAATGTACACCATGTCTGCTGGGCGATCAAGTGACACTTCACGCAAATATGAGCACGATGATGGTAACACTACAGGGAAGGGGGGGGGTAGGGGTTAGTTTTATTAAGCGGAGGCGGAGATAGCGGCGGCCGGGATGATACCAGATGTGAACGTAGGGTTTCTACGGCTGAATAAAGATGCACGTTGGTCCGTGACCCCGGAGCAGATATCTCGCTTGTCCTCTAGCACCCGTGGTGGCGTTCCTTTAGCGGTTTCAATTTCCTTCACGTGGCCAACGACGCTGAATTCTACGATTTTGTCCACGGGTAATTGAGTGGGGATCCCGAAACCCGTTCGTGCGCATTAAATCCCACCTCGGGGTAAGAGACACGGGAGATGGTCGGCTGACGGGCGGGGGGGGGGGGGAGAAAGGATGGTGTCTAATAAGCCTCGACTTGAAGCGAGCGTTAGAAGTATTGGTGTCCGTGGTGTGTGTGTGATGTGTGTGTGTGTAGGGAGCGGTAGTGTAGTGGTTAGCGCTCTACGCTACAAGCCTGTGCGACGCGGGTTCATTTCCCGCACACGGCCAACGCCCAGTGATGATTATCTGAACCTGTTTCCGGGCCTCCCCTAGGTCGACTCAGCCTCAAATCAGTACCTGGTGCGACGTGTAAACATCGCCACAAGGAAGACAAAGGCGGCCGGGCGTGGTGTTGGCCGCCCACCCCCTAACGGCACTTGCCCCTACAGTCTGTCGAGGCTATACAGGGGATTGTTGTCTTGGTGTGTGTGGTGTGTGTGTGGATGGTGACGTGCAGGCAGAGAGCGGTGCTTCGCGGTATGGAACGCGAGTGCACGTGCGTGTGTGCGTGCCTGAGGCTCCACCATTGGGGCACGCTAGGGGCATAGCACGTGCGTGTGTGCGTGTGCGTGCCCCTGGCTCCACCATTGGGGCACGCTAGGGGTATAGCGCGTGTGTGCGTGTGCGAGGCTCCACCATTGGGGCACGCTAGGGGTATAGCGTGTGTGTGTGTGCGTGCCCGACGCTCCACCATTGGGGCACGCTAGAGGTATAGCGCGTGTGTGCGTGCCCGAGGCTCCACCATTGGGGCACGCGAGGGGCCATAGCGCGTGTGTGCACGCCGGTTGTCATTGACGGGAACGTGGTGGGGGGGAGGAGGGGGGGTGGTGGTCACGCGGTGCCCATCTCAGCCCACGGCCGACGCACGCTTTTGCGTTTTCTTGCCCCCCCCCCCCAATCCACATCTCCGATTGGCTACGTACGGGGAGGTGTTGTTGTTGTTGGGGGGGGGGGGGGAGCGAAGGAAGCTCAACCGAGGTGCGTACGCACGCTTAGCGCGGCGTTCAAATTTTTGCGGGGATTTCTTGCAAGAAATGCGATGTGAGACGAACGCTGTGAGCGAGACACCGACGCCCCCCTCCCCCCCCCCCTCTTTAAAGTCGTCGCGTATCTTTGCACCCTAATGGATGTGCGATTTCGCTTGGAGGAACGGTTACTTTTTGCGTGTAATAATATTGATAAATAAAGCACCTTTTGACGACGCATTTCAGAGTTTGTAACGAGACGCCGGGCAATCGCTTTGAGCCGCGCTGCTAGGAGCTCGAAGTTATTTTTGCGGTCCCTTTTAGTTTGTCAACCAAATGATCGTCGTGTTTTCGCACCAACGACCTTGCTTATTATACTGGGAGTAATTGAAACCTTGGACTGTTTGTGAAATTGGATCATTCTGCGGCTACGCTTGGTTACTGACAGGCTTTAAAACACAGGTATTTTTAACAATTGGTTTTTTTTAGGACCCCTAAGAGTAATTTGAACGTTGCGTCGGGTTCCGTTTAAATCAATGGTTCGGTGTAATTTATTAGAGGTATTTTTTTGGGGTTATTTTTTTCACAACGTTTTTGCCTTCGGAGAAATGTGTTTCTGTACAAATGGGGGGGGGGGGGGGGGGTGGTGGTGGTGGAGGTGAAGATGGCACTGGTTTTAGTTGGCGGTGCTGTTGTGGTGGTTATGGAAAACGTACGGAGCAGGTATTTCAAACGTCGACGATAAAAAGTGCACGCCTTTTTTTTAATTAACGAGTTAACGGAGAGAGACTGTGTGTGTGTGTGTTTTATTTGCCCGCCTAATTTTGATCTTTTTAATGACCACGGCATTCGCGCGCAGTCCCGAAAATGAAGTGTTTTTCGTGAACCGTTACAATTACGTGGAGGAAAAATACCATGGGGGAAAGGAAGGTGTGGTGGTGGTGCCGGTGGGTGGGGTATGGTCATACCGGTCGGAAATTCCTGTGAACGGATAACAATAGCAATTGTTCCTAATCGAGGTTTTTTTTTGGGTTGGATCGCGTAAATTTTCGTTACTAGTGCAGCGCACCATTGTGTTGGAGAGTAAACCCACAACCTTTTCAGTACTCGAATTGTAAATGTTGTCGTGGGTTGTGGGTTTTCACTCCAACACACACCCGGTGCTCATCACGTGTTGTTCACGTGACACACAGACTTACTCATTGGCTTGTGTCAAGTGGTGGCGGGTTTAACGACACATTAATGTTTTCGCGATCTAACCCAAAAACCTCTATCGTGGATAATATTGGTCGCGCAAGCCTACTACGTGTTTAATATGACCATTGGTACGGGGGTGTTGTGCCAAATTTTGAGAGATCTGGGGGGGGACAAAGGATGGAAAAAAAACCCCCCTAACTTACACGGGATATCCTTTTTAAAAGTGTTTTGTTGTTTTCTCCAAAGCCGGACGTGCGGAGCGACGCTCCACAACAACAATAACAAGATCGGGGGGGGGGGGGGGGGGGGGGTCCCATCTTTTGGCTAGCCAGCATGTGCCAGGTCGTATGGCCCCCACACACTTGGGGGGGGGGGGGGGCGGTGGCGGGTTTCGGCAAACGCAATCGAGTCTGCCGCCGTCCGGAAGGTTCGAGTGCGGTATATTCGGGGGGGGGGGCTTTGCGCGAATTGCAAAAATAACTTTAAATTTTTTTTCAGAAGCGACCTGGCTATCACAAATGATAGCTCAACGAAGCGGCCTATCGCGTGGACATTGATAGCAGCAGCAGCAGCCAAATACTCTAAACGCATGAGGTTGATTCTAAACGCGGAGGGGGAAAAACCGGAGGTCCCGGAGAAAAATCCACACGACCCACGGGGAGAGAGAGAGAGAGAGAAAGACTGGAAAACTCCAAATATACAGGCATCAGAGTCGGGCTCGAACCCACGACCTCCTGTATAACCAGGTGAGGTAGTTAACATCTCCTAACCACTGTGTCGTCGCGCCCCCCCCCCTGGTTTGGCGTGGGCTGTCGTGTGATTTCATTCGAAACTTTTGATCTTTCTGACAAGAGAAACTCTGGAGACGAGCACAAAAATATATTTTTAAATGAATGCCCATCGCACAAAATTACGTGCGGCACAAGACCACGTTCACCGAGTTATTGCCGGCACGGTGATGCGACGCGACCACTGGATTGTGGCGCGTTTAATTTACTCTTCTGTGACCGACGGCCAAGTGCGCTTTGTAGGCCTCGCAGTGTTGTGTGTAGTTTGAAACGGTTTGGGCCGAGTTAAATGCCATGGAAGCACAACAAATCGTTAAAAAAAGCACAAAAATGCTGAACGCATCGGCAAAGCTATGGACAAATTGACATTTCGATTTAAGCATCGTCACACCGTGAAATTGTTCACCGCTTTTGGTGGCGTGAAAAACATTACGGCCACCCCGTACCGTCGTGAACTATTAACTTGATCTTCCGTTGACAAGGAGACGCCTGTGGCCCTGGACGTAGGCGTTCGCCAAACCTCGGCAGCCCGTTTTGGTGCCCTCCAGCTGCTAAAAAAAAAAATTGTCTTTTGCCCATCGTCGTGGCAGACGGCGTCGTCTGCCCCCGGAGGGAGAGAGGGAGGGGAGGGAAGAGGGGCGGGTGGGGGCTGCAGCCGTGGGGTCGGCGTCGAAGCGTGAATACTGCCAGTCGTTGTCGGCGCACACATCCCGTTGGGTTGTATCAACGAAGGAATTTCGTCAGTAATAGTTTTTTTTTGTTGGGTTACGCGATCTAGCCCCCCCCCCCACCCACCCCACCCCCCCCCCAAGAAACCCTGTAATTACGGATGATATTGGCCGGGACAGCCTATGGTTTTATAAGGAATTTCGAGTGATGAAAAGCTGCAGAGGGTGGGAGGAGATTGCTGCGCGCTCGGAATTGCATTGAGAGACGGGACGGAAAACGTCGCTAGGTTGGAGAGGAGCATGGGCGGCTTTCTATACATTCTATGGGGGGGGGGGTTGCTCGTTCCCTTCTCCCCCCCTCCCCCCCGCCCAATTTCGGCACGAAATTTGCCGCGACAGGATTGTGAACGACGGTGATGAGTTCGCGATGTTTCGTTGTGTCGCCGGGAATGATCCTCCCCCACCCCGTCTCGTTGTGTGGTAGAGCATCGTCTCGTTTGGCTGCGTGGACGTCGAACGGAACAGACACCCATTGTGTGTTTTTATTTCTTTGCAGTTTAGGGCATTCGAACCGATCGGACGAAGGTTCCATCGGTCGGCGCAAAATGCTTGCGCTTTATTGTCGAGCAGATGTGCGCGCGGAGTGAGCAAGACGGTTTCACGTGAATCCTGACCTCTCTCTCTCC